TGACAGTGATGTCCAGGAGTCCAGATTTAATTCGTAGTTCCCCATATCGACCTGGTGCGTTTGTAGGGCCAGAGACGATTGAATAGATATGTTCGGCGCGAAATCGACGACCTAGAATAATACACACTCCCGCACTCGTATTGCTGTATGGTGCACGTCTCCATCCATAATGTACTGCAGTGAATTTTCCTCCTCCAAAATTCTCCGTGTGGTATGTCCTTCCCTCCCATTCACGTATACACGTACCAGGCATCATCAATATGTCCACGTCGAGCTCCTGGGCTATTTCCAGTGTTTTGCCTGCCGTGCATAGAGACAGCGGGTTATACAAAGCGGCTCGAATGAGACTACACATAATAATCATCCCACAGGCCCCTCGTACAGCTCGACTCATCCGTCAGTGACCGAACATGGCAGGCACTAGAGAGGGACGAACGCTGGGTGAGGGCCAAAGTTGGGGACGCCGCCGCTGCAGAAATCCTTTGGGAGGGGAAATGGCGGCTAGGAGGAGGAGGAGGAGGAGGAGGAGGAGGAGGAGGAGGAGGAGGAGGAGGAGGAGGAGGGAGGAGGGACGAGGAGGAGGAGGAGGAGGAGGAGGAGGAGGAGGAGGAGGAGCTAGTCGGGAAGTGTGGGCTCGCGTGTCGCGCTGGCGGCTCGGGCCCGCCGCGCCGCGGCGCGACGCGCCGACCGCGCCCCCGCCCCCCGGCCCCGCCCACCCCCCGAGCCCGTCGCGGCGCCTGCCGCCGCGCGGGGCGGAGCGACGCGCCGTCCGCTCGCAGGGCGCAGCGCGTCGCTCCGGGGCCGTCGCCGCGGCAGGCGCCAGGCAGCGATTCCGGACCGTGGAACCCGTCCATCAGGAGGGAAAAAACACACAGACAGAATTCATCGTCGACTGCCAGGAAAATATGGGAAAATATGGGACTTGGGCGGGAGGACAAACCCCAGAAAATGTGGGGAATCTGTTTATTTGTGTGTATGTATTTGTGTGTCCTGGGGCCCCTTCGGTCAAGGGGTACAGCCGCCGTCAACAACAGGCGCCATCCGTCCGTCCGCGCAGGCTCGTGGTCCAGCGTCCGGTCGCGTTCTCTTCTGCGGAAGCCGCCAGCGGGAGCCCTGTTCTAAGCCTTTTGGGCCTTCCTCCGTGTGTGAGAGCCTTTTGGGCGTGTTCTAAGCTTCTAGTCACAAACCGTGCGGAGGTCTGAATCGAGAGGCCCGCTTTGAAACGTACTCATCCATCCGTGGAAATCCTGGAAACGTTGAGGCTACTGTGGGCGGTGTGCAGGCGAGAACCACGCTTGGCCCTCCACTCGTGTAGCTGCTGCAACGGTGCAAGAGAGGCGCGCCAGACCCTCAAGCGAGAACCGCATACAAGAAAAGGTGCCGCTCTACAGTTCCGTATGTGTTGGGACTGTTTGGAACGAATGTGTTTGGCGCTAAGGCGAGAGCTACATGTTTAAATGGCACCGTCCTTCACCAGCGCAACAACTGGATGCAAGTTTGACGTATGCGCTTGCCGCTCAGGGGAGAGCAACGCTTTGGAAAGGTACCGCCATGCATCCTTGTAGCCGCTAGGCAGTCCGACCTTCATGCTCAGAAGTTGCAAGGACCTCTCTGGCGAAACGGCCAGACCGCCCTACAAACACGCGTGCCCGAGCAAGGACAATTCGGCGTTTCGTTGCATGAGGAACAAGGGTGGAAGAGGAGCTGGGAGGAGAACAGAAGACTCACGATGTTATCATTCGGCTTACCATTTCCTCGCGACCAAATGGTGAAGGCCTTAGGCCCAAGCCGCCGACCCTGTATGCGAGGAGGACACGGGGATGGAGCAGGTGGACGAGGAGGGGGGGGGGGGGCCTCTTGGGTCTTCTGGAGCTTCTGGGGGGGCCTCATGACAGCCTCCTGAGGGCCTCTTGGGTCTCCCTGGAGGCCTCTTGGCGGCCTCCCGGGGCCTCTAGGGGGGCCTCTTGGGACCTCTTGGGACCTCTTGGGGCCTCCTGGGAGGCTCTGGGGCCGAAGGTTCCAAAGCCCCTTTCGAGTTCCCTGTGTGGGCACGCTCTGGGAGCCGTCTTGGGGGCCTCTTGGGCCGTCTTGGAGGCCTCTTGGGCTGTCTGGGAGCCCTCTTGGGACCATTCGGGTCCCTCTTGGAGCCTTCTGGGGCTATCTCGCGGCGATCGTGGAGGCCTCTTGGGCCGTCGTGGAGAGTCGGGAAGCCGAGAAGGCAAGACCACCCAAACCTGTCAAAAACGAATGAAGATCTATGACTTTAACATCTCGGACTGCTCTTGGAGGCCTCATGGAGCGTCTGTAAGCTGTCTTGGACCGTCTGGAGGCCATCTGTGGCGCATGGGACGGGCCACTCGGCGGTTCACGGCCCTCTTGGACCGTGTCTTGGAGGCCTCCAGGGATACTCCTTGCCCGTCCGGGGGTCTTTGGGCCCCGGAACCCCCCCAGGGGGGAATGATATTCTGACCCTGGACCCCCCCTGGGACGCCCCCCCCCGGGATCCCCCCTCGACCCCCCCCCCCCGGAACACCCCCCGAGCCCTGCGCCCCCCGCGGGGAGGGGATCAGAGGGAGAAGGGGCTTCCCTTCGACTCAACTGCGACGTTGCTCAATTTCGCTTTTGGCTGGCGCGCTTGAGGAGGAGGGCGCAGTGCACCGGGAAAGGGGGTGAGCGGCGACGGCGACGGCAACGGCGACGACGACGACGATGACGAAGATGACGACGACGACGAACGGCGGCGGCGACGATGACGACGAAGACGACGACGACGATGACGACGACGACGACGACGACGACGACGACGACGACGACGACGACGACGACGGCGACAGCGACGAGGCGACGACGACGACGACGACGAGGAGCGGAAGAGCGTCTTCCACACGCCGACAGGGTCGGCGGATTTGCACTGAGCAGGAGGCGTGGAGAGAAGGAGGTTGAGAAAGGAGAGGGCGAAGAAACGTTAGGATACCTCGGGAGGCTTCTTGCTGTTTCTGAAGTTGTCCGGAGGTTCCTGGAGGTTTACTGGGTAGGGTGAGGAGGAGGAAGTAGGGAAGGAGGAAGGAGGAAGAAGAGGAGGTCTAGAGCAAACCAAGGATGCATGAGTGCACGATGCTGCAATACACGCTCCAGTCCCAAGTCCGTTCCTAATAAGATGGTGGTGATTGTGATGAGTGTGATGGTGCTGATGCTAATGATGAGGATGCCGACGATGATGCTGATGCTTCTGACGATGACGACGAAGGCGTGAATGATGACGAAGATGTTTGTGATGCTCCTGCTGCTGATGATGATGATGATCAGCATGATAGTGGCGATGCCAATGGTGATGGTGATGATGGTGATGGCGATGTGGGCGATGATGATGAATCAGGATGATGATGATGCTGCTGACGATGATGGTGATGATGATGGTGCTGCTGATGATGATGCTGCTGATAATGATAATGATGGCGATGGCGGTGGTGGTGGTGGTGCGATGTTGATTATTGTGCGCTTGATTGTGCTTGAGATGGCGAGTGTAATGATGTCGGTGATGATGATGCTGCTGCTGCTGATGATGATGTTGATGACGAGGATGATAAGGACGATGATGATGACGATGTCGACGTTGATGCTGACGATGGTGCTAACGTGATTTGGTTCGATTTGATGTTGTTCATGGTTCTGGCGGTCACGCGATGTTGATGGCGATGATGATGATGACGATGACGATGACGATGATGATGATGATGATGATGGTGGTGACGCTGACGATAATGGTGATGGTGATGATTATGCTGATGATAGTGGTAGTGGTGGTGATGACGACGACGATGATGAATATGCTGATGTTGATGATAATGCAGATGAAGAGAATCGGGATGGAGATGCTGACGGTGCTTGTGATGGTGACTGTGATGGTGTTAATGGTTCTGATTATGAGGTTGATGATGATGATAATGGTGATGGTGATGATGATGGTAATGGTGATGAAGATAGTAATGGTACTGGTGGTGACGACGATGATGCGGATGCTGATGATGATGATGATGACGACGATGACGATGATGTTGATGTTGATGATGATGATGATGCTGATGCTAATGATGATGCTGCTGATGATGAGTATGATGATGCTGATTATGATGATGGTGGCTATGATGATCTATTTAATATTGATGATGACTACGACGATAATGATGGTGGTGATGCTGACGATGATGTTAATTATGCTGCTGATGATGATGATGGTGCTGATGATGATGATGGTGATGACGATTATGGTGCTGATGATGATGATGGTGATGACGATAATGATGCTGCTGTTGATGATGCCGATGATGATGCTGCTGATGATGATGATGATACTGATGCTGCTGTTGATGATGCTGATGACGATGCTGCTGATGATGATGGTGATGAGGATGATGATGATGATGATGATGATGATGATGATGATGCTGATGATGATGATGACGATGCTGCTGCTGCTGATGATGATGCTGACGATGCTGATGATGATGATGCTGCTGATGATGATGATGATGATGATGATGATGATGATGATGATGATGATGATGATGATGAATATGATGATGACGTCGATGAAGACGACGACGACGACGCTGATGAGAGGATGAGGAAGAGGAGGAGGAGGAGGCGGAGGCGGAGGTGGAGGCGGAGCAGGAGGAGGAGGAGGATGAGGAATAGAAGGAGGAATAGGAGGAGGAGGAGGGCGAGGACGAGGACGAGGACGAGGACGAGGACGATGATGACGAAGAGAAGGAGTCAGGGAGGAAAAGGGAGGAGAAGGGAGGAGTGAGGCAGGAGGAGGAGGAGGACCAGGAGAAGGACAAGGACGAGGACGAGAACGAGATCGAGAACGAGGAGGAGGAGGAGGAAGAGGAGGAGTTGGAGAAGGAGGAGTGGGCAGGAGGAGGAGAAGGGGATGACGTCGGGGCCTTGTTTCTGCACCTACGCAGGGCAGAGAGCCTCCCCGCCCCCCCTTTGGCCAGGGACGTGAAGAGCATGTACCTGAAGTGCCTGTGCCAGCGAGTCGTGGTGCGCCTGTACACGCCCGGGGACCTCCTGGTGCTCATCGGCGAGGTGGGCTCCGAGCTCTTCATAATCATGTCAGGCCCGGGTGTGGAGGAGGGGGAAGGAGCATGGAGCACGGATTGGCATGCCTCCAAAGTGGCAGGTCCGAGAAGAGAACGGTGAAGCAAATATTGCAGAGGAGGGGCAAGGAGGGAAAAGGCGGGGGAGGGAGGATGGGGAGGAGGAGAAGGAGAGAGAAGGGGGAGGAGGAGAGAGGAGTGAGGATTGAGGGGTGAGGCGTGAGGAGTGCGAAATGAGGAGAGAGAAGTGACCAGTGACGAGAAGGAGGAGGAGGAGGAGGAGGAGGAGGAGGAGGAGGATGTAGAAGGGAGAAGGAGGAGGAGGAGGAGGAGGAGGGGAGGGGAGGAGGAGGAGGAGGAGGAGGAGGAGGAGGAGGGCGGCGGCGGCGGCGGCGGAGGTCGCGCTGGCGGTGGACGCGGCGTGCGGCGGCGGCGGCGGACGGCGTTGGCGAGCGCGGCGGCGGCGGGGCGCCCGAGGCAAAGTGGAGCCCGTGGGCGAGGACGGGCGCCCGATCCGGGACATCGTGATGGGGGAGGAGCCCGTGCCCTCCCGTGCTGCAGGGGGGGATGAGGAGGGAGGAGGAGGAGGGAGGAGGAAGAGGAGGAGGAGGAGGAGGAGGAGGAGGAGGAGGAGGAGGAGGAGGGAGGAGGAGGTGAGGAGGAGGTGGAGGAGGGAGGAGGAGGAGAAGCAGGAGGAGGAGGAGGAGGAGGAGGAGCAGGAGAGGAGGTGGCGGAGGAGGAGAAGGAGGAGGAGGAGGAGGAGGAGGAGGAGGAGGAGGAGGAGGAGGAGGAGGAGGTAGGAGGAGGAGGGGAGGAGGAGGAGGAGGAGGAGGAGGAGGAGGAGGAGGAGCGGAGGAGGAGGAGGAGGAGGAGGAGGGAGGAGGAGGAGGAGGAAGGGGGGGAGGAGGAGGAGGTAGGAGGGGAGGAGGAGGAGGAGGAGGAGGAGGAGGAGGAGGAGGAGGGAGAGGAGAGAGGAGGAGGAGGAGGAGGGAAGGAGAAGGAGGAGGAGGAGGAGAAGGAGGAGGAGGAGGAGGAGGAGGATGAGGAGAGCAGGACGTGGATGAGGAGGAGGAGGAGGAGGGGAGGAGGAGGAGGAGGAGGAGGGGAGGAGGTAGAGGGCGAAGGGGAAGGGGGAGGGGGAGAAGGAGGGAGGAGGGAGGAAGGAGACGGGAGGAAAGAGGGACGAGGGAGGGAGGATCGGATTGGACATATCGGAAGCATGGCCAGGCCTTCGAGCAACGAGGGTTGGAGGGCAGACCCTGCACCGCTCAGCGGCACAGGGCTCCCCACCAACCAGCATACCAGAAAATCCAACCTACAGAGAGCAACCACGATCCGCGGCGGCGCATGCGCGGCGTGCTTGCGCGCCGAACCGGCGTGCCCTCACACAATCCCAGCACCCAGGAGGAGCCGTGGGCCCTGCACCCACGGCACGAGCAGCACCGCCAGCGGCCCCGCGAAGATCTGCACGGCTCCGCGCAGGCGCAGCGGACGTCTGTGGGTCACGACCACCGCTCCAAGGAGCACGACCGGCGCCACGACCAAGAGCGCCAGACGGAGCGCCCTCCTGCAGCACGCTGCGGGGGACCAGGCGCTCGGAGCTGGGGCGCCGGTGAGGGTGGCCTTTCGCCAGAGGGACCTTCGGTGCGGGCACGGTGGGGGTCCCCAGAGGGGAGGGGGGGGGTAGAAAGGGGGAGGGGGAGGAGGAGGAGGAGGAGGAGGAGGAGGAGGAGGAGGAGGAGGAGGAGGAGGAGGAGGAGGAGGAGGAGGTGGCCCCAACCCCGGGGCGGGCCAGAGGGCGGCCCACGACGACCCACCCGAGCAGCCGGCTGGCACGCGGTGGCTGCCCTGCACCGCGGAGGTCCCTGCGATGCAATATGCCTTCGGTACCAGGGGAAGTCGCCCAGTCTCGGGCCCCGGGGCCATCACAGAGAGCGATGCGGCCCGAGAAATGCCGCGGAAGGATGGGGTCTGGGGCTCTGGTCGTGATTTTTCGCGACGTACGAATATTTGTTTGGTTCCATCTCTGGTAGCAGACCGCTCTCAGGCATCTAGAAACTTAAGACTAGCGCGCCTGACGATTTTCTTCTGATTGCTGTGCCGAACAGCTCTGTAGCTCATCTACAGCTCGAGTTAAGTTAAGTTTGCAGATTTTTCCCAGCGTCGGATCCCGGGGATGGGCTCGCCAGCCCGAGACCGCCGTCCACTTCGGGAGCCGGAGCGGACGCCACGCTACGGATACCTCAGAGCGGGCCCCACGGCGCCGTGATGCCCGCTGCTATGTTGTGGCCGAGGCGCTGGTGGGCTGCCCGCCCTTTCATCCCCCGTGTCGGCTGATAGGGCCCCTGGCCCCGGGTGCTTGGCACCGAGACCCCGTCTAGTCATGAAACAGCCGCGA